ACACACACACACAGACGGCCCCGTAACAATATGCGTTTTGTACTGCTGTTACACAGCACAAAACGCATAAAAATGAATCTTAGAAAGTGAATTTAAACAGAAACAAGGCTGTCCTGATAACCAGTTTTGACATACTAGGGTGAAATTAGGGCAGCCGGTTACGATACCGTACGATACTTTTGTTCATCAAACGATTTGTCCGATGTAGGTCGTCATTTTTTCTGAAGCAACAAAAAGCTTTTTCATTTCTTAAAGAAACAAAAATTTTTCAGAATATAGAAATTGTAATATTTCGATGACCAGCGTTTCGGGACATCTGCTACAGCACGATTTCCCAGTGTCATTCAAAAACTGGACTGAAACACCGATCAAAGTTCTATTCGATGCACCGGTTCAGAAGAATGTCATTCCTGGAATGGAAGATATCAAGCAGACATTGATTGAGGAGATTCGTAACTCTAATGTGAGTTCTTTTTGGTGTACTTTGCATAATGAATTTTGAGAGAAATCATTTGATTAAAAAAGGTCGTGAAAATTCGGCGTCAAAACTGTAAAAGAATGCCATGAAATAAAACTGTAAAATTTGTAAAATTGGCATTTTTGAAATTTAATTAGTGGTGGAAGACAGTATTTGAAAAGTGAGATAAAACATTGTAAAATTTTTTTTTTGCCTGTCTGAAAGTGTTATTAATGCTGCATTTGGAGCGGAACTATAGAAAGTAAACCTAGGAATTTTGTTCAGTACTACTTTTGTACTGTGCTGTACTATCCTCCCCTTATTTCCCTTATTCGTGACGATTTATGCATAATTCGGTTCAAAACCACGTTTTTTTAGTCCCAAATCTAATTTTTCTCTTCAACTTTCTTTTTACTTTTTAAAAACCGCAAATTTTGTAAAAATTTAAATTTGATTTTTAAAGTCCATGAAATTTGAAGAATTCTACCCGTTCGCATTCCCTTCTTCTGATTTATTTCTTTTCCGCCTTGTGCAACTGATTTGATCAGTTAACTTTTGTGTTGCTTTTACGTTTCTGTGCTAGCTATCCTTTTACGTTGTCACATGGATAATAAAATGCTACAAGCATTTCAGCTGCTAGTGATCTGGACGGATTGTGATCGAGAAGGCGAAGCGATTGG